GAAAGATATTCAGCTCTTTTACTTGAAGCATGTAGATTCAAATCAACAGGCTTACTGTGCATTTGAAAAAATCTTTTCTCATTGACCTGCAGTTAGTAGCAACTCAAGACTTACCAACGTTCAGTGTCCCTGTGGCCTAATGCCATGTTAAGCCTTGTAAGGGCTGGGGCAATTTTATCATGAACCTCAAAGGTACCAATACATGGACTTGGAGGCTTGCTTTTCCAGGTAAAGTTGGGAGTCACTTCAGAAGGCCTTTATATCTTCCATTTCCTAGACCATACTTGGTAAAGAAAGCTTCTCCATGCATGCCGGATCTAACATGTGTACCTCTCCTCATCACTCTTATTTGCTTTCTCTTGCAATTTGTGATACTTTGAAGGGTCACAGGAACCAAATGCTTGCAGTACCACTGAAATTAGTTGCCTTGTGTTTTAAGGTCGCTTTGTATCCTTTCGTGTTCCTATTTCAACAGATTATATTGAATGATCTGGTCGATGATGCTCACTCTTTACATAGCACTTCATTTGGGGTGGGTGATCTCTTCATTTATTTTAACTCTATGGCAACCAAAGCATCGTGTCCTCGCCTTCCCTCCTTGGAGGCACCACCAACACTGACTTTGTGGAGGACCTTACAGCCACTCTGTGCTTTGAGTCTGCTTTGTTTTTGTAAAATAATTGAAGGTAAATCTTAAACCAAACTTTTTAACAAGTTGAAGTGCTTCAAGCCCACATTGTTTTTACATGACATGAATCATAAAATAAGTCCTAAGTGTGATTTCGTAAAAATAAATTGTAAGACACATTTTGGTCGAGTTTCCAGACAGTTCTTCGTAATAGAGGTTGCATTAATCTGTAGGTATGAGTCTTCAAATGAGTGCTATTGTTAATTCTTTATTCCATAAGATTTATTTTAGGTTTGGTACAGTCTGAAACATTAGTACTTTTCTTAGATGAAGAGAGTGAAAATGCAGTTTGTTCTCCAGATTTATAACATCATATTAAACTGTCCCCAAACTCCATTCTCTTTTCACCAGTTCCTCTTGCTGCAGGAGATGGGGATGAAGAAAAATATATTCTTCATTCACCTACCTGTGTAGAGATGCAATTTGGAGTTCAACAGACCTTAAAAACAATTTAGGGATCTCAGAAAACAGAAACTGAGGATTACTCATTTGTCTTGGTGTTTTTGACTGCCCCTACCATTTTGTGTTTTGCAATAGAGGCAAAAAAGATTAGAGACTAGTCTCAGCTATGCTCTCAAGTGATGATTTGCTGAAGATGCATACAGCAGAGTAACAGCCACTTCTTCTTTAACATGAATCTTTACTGGCCAAGACTCACTTTATTGCTATATATTGACTAAAAGCCTCAATGAAAGATGAGTATTTGGACAAGACAAAGGAGGAAGAAAATAATTTTCCTTTAGTGTATACTTGAGTGCATACACGAGTTTGAGTCATTTAATTACTTTGCAATTGGTGCTTCTGACGTCTGAAGTCAGTGCAGAGTTGCTGAGGTCAAACCCTGTTTGTTTGGAGTATGAACTCCTTGAAGCCAGCCTTATTGGGTTGAGGAGTGTCCTGAAATTACCAATGGCAATATGGGGCAATTCTGTCAGTTAGGAATAGAAGGGAGTAGTCTCCTGTAGTTCAAATTGAGACTTTCAGTTTTCTCATGTTTCTAAGAAAAAAAAATCCAAGTCCTTATGTACAGAAGACAGCTCAGTGTGCTTCTCCTACATGCAAAGGAGCTTTGCAGCCAACCTTGGTTTTTAAAGGTCAACTATACAAAAACTTAAAGAATCATATACTCATAGAATTGCTTAGGTTGATCCCTCAGGATCATTGAGTCCAACTGTTAACCTAGCCCTGCCAAGTCCACCACTAAATCTTGTCCTTAAGCACAATGTCTACCCATCTTTTAAATCCCTCCAAAGATGATAAATCCATCACTTCCTTGGGCAGCACCTTCCAGGGCTTGACAACCCTTTGGGTGAAGAAAATTTTCCTCATAGCCCATCTAAACCTCCCCTGACACAACTTAAGGCCATTTCCTCCTGTCCTATCACTTGTTACTTGGGAGAGGAGACCGACACCCACCTTACTACTGCTTGCACTGAAAAACCAGAAGCTATCACTTAGAAGTAAATATAATTTTTCCTGTTCAAGCCTTTGGAAGTGAAGTGGCTTAAAAGTAATTAACTAGCAACAAACCATTCAAGTAAAGATGTGAGGCATGGGAAAACAGCAGCCACTTCATAAGATAGTGATCCTGTCATCTTGCGCAGAATGGCATTGGGATTCTGTGGCAGTAGAGGAGAGTGATGATATAAAATGCTAGGCTGTTAATAAATGTACTTTGACATCACAGCTATTCTTCCAGTGTTATAAGAGTGTTTAAAAAGGACAGGGATATGAAAAGAACAATTTAATATCCAGCAACACTGCAATTTCTAAAAAATTGCCTTCATTCCCACTCATACAGAGAAGTCTGAGATGCAGAATATATAGCTTCTGTGCAGTCAAATCCAACTCATGCAGTGGATAAGTTGTGTAGAGAAAGATCCTCTCCCTTTTTGGAATGGAAGTTCTGGGAAATCCTTTAGTTAAAATGCAAGTTAGGACATAATTAATACCAACACCAATATTCGCTCCTCTGGGAATTCATACAGACTGGAGACAGGAAGTAAGATAAAATTCAAAATTAACCTACTCTTCATGCCATAATATTTTTTTGCTGTAGCTGGAGGATGTTGGTGACATCATTGAGAAGATCCGCATAGGACACAATGGTGGAGGAGTGAACGCCGGGTGGCATTTGGACCGTGTGGCGATTCGGAGGCTGTTGCCAAACGGGAAGGTAGGCTGTGAATCCCAGCACTCTGGCATATGTTTCCACTAGCAGACGCTTCCATTTCCCAAAGTGCGTCTTCCGTATACAAAGCATGATTAATGGTGAAAAATTACTCCCTAAAGAACAATGCACGCTAATGAACTCGCTAGAGCTTGGGGATCTGGGGACAAGAAACATGTATTGCCATGTTTTATTCTTCAAATGTTGATTATAAGGCTCTGCAACCACTGCTTTTTAAAAAACACTGTTCTCATTGTGCCTCCTGACTAGAATAATTTCCTACTGGCAGAAATTAGTGGGTGGCACCAAAGCAGTGATGTTGCTTCTCAACCTTTTGAAGGTCTTTGCTACTCTTTATCTTTTGTATGAAGGAGCCTGCAGGGTTTGGAGGCAATGTTATCATTGGTTTCTTCTGGAGTGAGAGGAGGGATGTCCCTGTGTCCACTGCCACTGGACATCCCGGAGTCCCCAAGGCAAACTTAGGTAATGGTGGGTTTGGGTGATGTGAGAGGCCAGAACCTCATATTTTCATGTGTAGTTTTGTTCTGAACAATCTCAGGGAAGGAAGCTGGGAGTGGGTGTACCAGCCTGAAATAAAAAGTATTGTTGCTACACCGTGGACAAGAAATAATTTCGTCAGTCCCTTAATTTTGCAAGAATAAGTGCAGGGAGCCAGTATAATTACCACAAGCAAAATGCTCGTCAATGCAAGTCCCTGAATCACTTGTATAAAAAACATCAAGTTGGATCATAGGACTTTTGGTTGCCCATGTCAACAGGATTAAGGTACTGCAGCCACGTTGGTCATCTTGATCTTGTCCACATAAGAAAAACTTCCTTGGCCCTGCTTTCAGATGCTAGGAATGAGTGTGACTGCAGGGAGTTCAGAAGAAAATCACCTCTTCAGGACCAGCTCAGAACTGGAGCAGTAACTGTGGACAGCAGGATGTCCATGAACCAGCAATGTGCCCTTGCAGCCAAGAAGGCCAGTGCCATCCTGGGCTTTATTAGAAGGGGTGGTTGTATAGCAGAGATGTTCTCCTCCCCCTCTGCTCTGCCCTGCTCAGACCCCATCTGCAATCTTGGGCCCAGTTCTGGGCCCTCAACCCATGAAGGACAGGAACTGCTTGAAAGAGTCCAGCAGGGCCACAAAGATGCTGGAGGGAGTGGAGTGGAGCATCTCCTGCTGAGGAGCGGCTGAGGGAGCTGGGGCTCTTGAGCTTGGAGCAGAGGAGCATGAGGGGTGCCCTCATTCCTGGGTCTCCATTTGGAAAGGACGAGTGTCAGGAGGAAGGAGCCAGGCTCTGCTCTGGGATGGCCAATGCCAGGACAAGGGGCAATGGTCCCAAGCTGGAGCACAGGAGGTTCAAGCTGAAGCTGAGGCCAAAGTTTGTGAGTGTGAGGGTTCTGGAGCATGGCCCAGGCTGCCCAGAGAGGTTGTGGAGTCTCCTTGTCTGGAGACACTCATAGCCCTGGCCATGTTCCTGTGTGAGTGCTCTGGTGATCCTGCTCTGGCAGGGGTTGCTCTGGCAGGGGTTGCACTGGGGGAGATTTTCAGGTCCCTTCCGACTCCTTGATATTCTGTGACTCTGTGTTTGGGAACACCTGGACTTTCTCTGTGTTGTCCTTTCTTCTCTTATTCAGATAGGATATAGCCTTCCATTTCCAACTCAATGCCCTCTCCTGCATTGACTTCTATCAAGTGTTTGTGTAAATATGACTTATTCAGTCATGGTGAACCTACTTCTCATCTTGCTTTCTCCTTAGAAATTTTCGGGATATGTTTTACTCTCTTTGCTTCAATCAACTCAAAGGTGTGCCTTGAACCTTTCTCATCATGCTCAAACCTGTATCCTCCTGTACAAGCTTCTTCACAAGACCATACCCTTTCGTTGTTTCTCATGATCACCTTTTTTGACAGTCTGTTGTTATCGGACCCTTTCTGTGTATTGACTAACCCTTGCCTTGTACAACTTCATTAGATTAATGAGCAAGGTGACTGGTTTTGGAGATAACTGTTACTGGTCATAAGCTAGGGAAAATGCAGAGGGGGAGACCGAGGGAAAAGGGATTCCTGGGCTGCCTTTTTCTACACCTACTGTTATTATGTTATTATGTATACTGCTATTATGTTAGCCCTCAGAGCACTGGAACAGGCGGCCCAGAGAGGTTGTGGAGTCTCCTTCTCTAGAGACATTCAAAACCCGCCTGGACGCCTTCCTGTGCAACCTCATCTAGGTGTTCCTGCTCCAGCAGGGGGATTGGACTGGATGATCTTTTGAGGTCCCTTCCAATCCCTAACGTTCTGTGATTCTGTGATTCTGTGCGATTCTGTTGACTGAGCACTTTGGGAAGATCTCAAGAGCTCCATATTGGGTGCCCTTCCATCAACCCAGAAAGGGGCTCAGGGCTGTGCTGCTCTGCAGTCATTACAGCAGCTTTCAAGGGCAGGCGGTGAGAAACCTGGGAAGGTGGAGGAAGGGAGGAAAAACCAGGAACAGCTTAAAAAAATGGAGAGATTTGCCATTCTGCTGATCTTTTGATTATGGCATGGGAAAAAAAGAAGAAAGCAGAGCACTGCATGATGCCGCTGATCAGCCGCAGGATATTATGACCTGCCACAGGATAGCAATATGCTGCCAACGCTTCTAAAAGCTGTGCTACCTGATTAGACTGCTAAGATGTGTCTAGATGTATCTGTAATGCTGCAAAAGAAAAATGAGGTCAGTAACTTTTCAGATTAAATTGAAAGCACTTGGGTAGGAAACTAGGATTGTTGCATGCCAATAAAGCTCGGTCTTGGCATGCCAATTATATCTGATAATTATATTTCATTTGTTACAACTTGGAGAAGGGCAAAGCACTGACTTTTAGCACACTACCATACCCTGTCTCTAGCTCATAGACTCAGACTCTAATGAAACAAATTCTGTTCGGAGCTGCAAGAGGATTTTACTGCGGGTAACACAAAACAGTGCACTTTCAGTCACTTAAATATTAATGCAATCACTAACAAGGAAACTCCAATAAAAACTGTGGCAATGACATGGTGATTAACTATAATGATACATACAATTAACTCTTGCAGTAACTGCACATTATGCCCCACTAGGCACTTGAGTCCCTAGATATCCCATTACCAAATAAACAGTATTCGCATCGATGGCACGTACAGCCAACATCATCAACGTTTAAGTGCAGTTAAAAGCTTCAGTGAGAGATGTGACTGAAGTGGGGTCTCTGCCGGGAGGCGAGAGTTTCAGCACTGAAGCATCGTTCTGGAAAGCCCTCTCTTCCCAGACTGTAGATGGGGAGATAAGCACTGCTCATCGGCTCGGTGTACGGTGGGATACTGCAGGTTATGTGGTCAGGCAGAGAGGAGGAGGCAGAAGTAGTGGCATGACCAGTCATTAGGAGCTGTATTTTGCACAAATAACACTTGAAAGTGATATGTTTGAAATCGTCATAAGTGCTGCCAGTTTTGTTTGACACAGTTTTGTACAAGTCATGCTCCAAACCGCGTTAGGGAGTTGAACATCGCAAGCCTGGGGTTAAACAGCAGCACTGCAGCGAGGGCAGCAGGGTGGAGAAATGATGTTTTATTGACAGCAGCAGGTCTGGGCTGTGTGGGTTCAAAGGATGGCTCTGCTGCAGACTCAAGGCACTGGATCACACAAGACCCTTGGACGGGTTCAGCTCCTGCAGCTCAACTTGTCTGGGATCCATGTGCTGCCATGACCTGTTCATACTGAGTTAGCAGTGACTGAAGTGCACCTCTGATCTTGGGTCTGATAAATAATTACATGAGAGTAACTAAGGTGGACAGTATTCATAAACATATAATATACATGAAAGTGGTGGCACGCTGCAAACAGCAGAAAGCCCCTGTGCTGTTTAGGAGAGAAATGCCGACGTTGTCATTTAGGAAAGAGCAAATATTTTCCTCCTTTATTTAGTTACTGTGAGATTAAAATTAGTTTGTTTTTTTTTGTTTTGGTTTTTGGTTGTTTTTTTTTTTCTGTTCAGACTTGTGGGCTTTGCAAGATGTAGCTCATGGCCCTTTCTTTATGGAGACAAAGCCTGGGGTACCCAGCACACAGAGAGACGCCCGCATCTTACCCTCTTGGAGGCTTTTCAGGACTCTGTTCTTAATAAGTAGTCTGGGACTGATTTTGTTTTCTGAGTGGAAAACACATGTTCCATTGTTTTTGTTTGATGATAGAAATCATATTTGTTTCCACCAAAGTGAAGTCAAAACAAAAGATCAAAAATTAAATCGCTATTTTTTCTCCTCCTAATGCACATATGGGAATTGCCTGGAAACCAGCTTAAGTCACAGACTTATAGGGCAAAATCTTGAAGTATTGACTCAGAAGAAAACCCCTACTGACTTCAAAGAGAATGCTGCCTGAATAAGAATCGAAGAGGGATTGCAGAGACGCAGTAAAACACGACTTCAGCGGGAATGGTGCAGTCCTGATTAGGAATTTGCAAGATCAAAAACTGGGAAGGGCAGAGATTGACTGGATCATACAGTCCCTTGCTGCCTTTGGGAACAATGTCCTCTGCTACATGTTCAGTGCTGTTTCTCAGAGCCCTCAGATGTCCTTTTTCTGAAGTAATCGTATTTCTATATACTATTTTAGGTCTGCATCTATGTTACACATGCATACATACGTGAGTTGAAAATCCCTGTCTGCAAGTCAGAGTATTTTCAAAAGGGAGATGCTAACATGTGTTCACTTTGTTTTGAAGAGTTTATCTCTGTCATGTTCACTTCAGGGCTCGGAAACCGTCACGTTTCCATGTGAGAGATGGCTTGCCAAGTCTGAAGACGACGGCGAGATTGTCAGAGAACTGGTACCATCTGATATTTTTACTGAGAAACTGATGAAGGATGGGACACTCAAACAGATAGAAGAAGAAGTTGAAGACCCATTAGAAGGTAACATAATCCTAGGAGTAGGAAAAGACCTATTCGTCTGATTTTTTGGAACAAAACACTTGGATTTGCGGCTCAAGCAAATGCAATGCTGTCACAACTTCACATTTATTTCCCTTTCTGCTCCCTGACTCTTATGCCTGAAGCAGTTCTGTACAATAATACCAATAATTTCCTACAGGGCATTTATAAACCTTGACAGGTTTCACACAGACATAGTTTGCACATCTCCTCTGATGCCTAACGAATTTTCTCTGTCTTGTCCTTCTCTTCCAGGCTCTGTACACATCTTTAATTGTTTGCCCAACTTTACCTGTCCTGTGCACTCTGCCTCTTCCTTTCCTACCCTACCAGTCTGATTCATGTTCCTCTTTGCTCCCAAAGTTGTTTTTCCTGCTGCTCCTCCGGTATATAGTGACATCCTCTAAAAATTTGGCTCTGGGCAGCCACCCTCACCTCATCAAAGTGCCCCTGGGGAGTAGAATAAATTCTCATCCAGCTCTGAGCCCATCTAACGAAGTGCTTACGTGCAGTGTTTGGTCCTGTTGGGAGCTGAAACGGCTGAATAAGAGCTGAAGTTTCATTTAAACTTGTTCCTTCTACTTTTGCCCGGCTTTTCCTAACTCTTTTTCCTCTAGGACCTCCTTTTTTCTACCCCAAGTTCCTTCTGCCCTTGACAGAAGTTGTGAACCTACACCCTGAGCAGAGCAAACTGAATTTGTCTGCCATCTTCCCTATTGGTTTGTAAGGGTTTTCCATTGCCAAGGGAAGAGGCATCTTGTGACAGCTGTAAGGAAGGCTGGACACTGTGTCCTTTGAAGAGAGAGGTGTGCTTTATCTTTCCATTAGGAACTGCATGGGAGCTCACCAAAGGTTTATTTTTGCCAAAGAGGTAAAGACAGTTTTAATATCAGTAAGCGACATAACTGTGAGAGGTCGGCATGATATTTTCTTAAATTTACCAACTTCTGTTGCTTTACCTTGAGCTTGTTACTGTGTGTCCACTAACATAGGTGACTAATTTTTTCCTTCTAAAGACAAAGTCTTAAAACAAGCTTTGCAAACTCTGGAATAGGATTTTTTGAATAACAGAAGGTTTCTTTTGTTTGTGAGAAAGGGATAAGTTTGGTCACATCTAGTTTTGATCTAAAGTATAATGGGATGGGAGTTATATCTTCTGCACCTGTATCAGTCCTCATAGATGACATCAATGGAAAATCAGCTTGTGCTATTCTGGAGATCATACTCTATATAGTAGGCTGCATTTCAGTCCTGAAGGTCTCCAGAACTGGCAAGCAAACACCAAAGAGGGGTGAATTTACTAATTAGACCATATGCATTGCTTCCTTTATTACTAATGGAGCAGTTGTCTCTCAGATATGAAGCTGCAACTCTCTAGGACATAATATGAAGACTCAAACCAGAAAACCTAGCATTGCACCTAGCCTGTTGAATTATCATGATCCATTTCTTAGAGAAATCAGGGCAAATCTTTCACAGACTATGAAGCAGAATAGGCCCAGTTTTACTGGGAAAGCTAGATACAAAAGAAAATGGCAATACAAATATATTCTTTGATGCTGTTAAGGTACAAAGAAGAATACTAACTAAGACTTTGTGCCTCTCCCTCATTTGCATTGCCGTGGGATTTGCAAGGAGGAATTCTCCAGGGCTCGTATGCCACCAGGGTAATCAGAGACTTGTACAGTTCCTAATTGTTTTCTTGGAGAGGATGCTTTCGGTGACTGTTTGTTTTCTCTGTGTAATTGGAAAAAGAGTAGCGAAATAAAAATTGGAGTATTTAACAGGTTTGGTAAAGCACATTACTAAAAATTTGATGAGGTTTTATTGGATCATCATCGAGTAAACTAAAGAGAAAGGCTACTTAAACAGTACAGCTCCAGCACTTCCTTAATTAAATACTGTCTCAGCAAAAATACCCAGAAACCTGTTCTCTTTCTGTTTGAGGAATTTATAGAGATACATGCCATTAACTCTGGTAGTAATTGCACATCTGAATCCCTGGGGTTTGTTTATGGAAGATGGAGTATTAAGGATTCACGGCACTGAACCATTTGTTCTCAGATGTGATTCCCCTGAGCCTCAGTGTGAAAAGGTGCAGGGTTCCCACACCTCTATCGGCATCCCATAATAACCATAATGATCCTCTGCATTTTTAACTGTGAACTATGCGATCAAAGCGATACACAGCGATTAAGTGGAGAAAAGGAAAATCAGCAAATTTCAGCCCAGAGATTCCCCAAGGTTTGGATAGTTGTCAAAAGCCTGCAAGGATAAAGCATACGGGCCTTTAAACCTCCAAGAACTGAGTGATGAGCAGAAAGGTTGGGGACCATTTTCTTACGTTTGGTATCTGAGATAGACCTCGATAACTCACCTGGCCAGAAATCACATCTCCTTTTCCTTCTGCAGTTCACACATACAAGATCAGCGTGTTCACTGGAGATATCTATGGCGCTGGGACAGATGCTAATGTTTTCCTAAATATCTACGGAGATCTGGGGGACATGGGAGAGAGAAAACTCAGCAAATCTGAAACAAACTTCAACAAGTTTGAAAGGGGACAGGTACCAATGCGGCGGGTTGATAACACTTTCCATTTCGCACAGTCTTTAACCTAACAAGTCCATGACTGTCTTTATAGGATGAGTTTTCCTATGAGGGGTGAGTTGATTGATTCCATTTACCGTGTTCATTACCTCTTAAAATGCTTTGTATGGATTTTCAGGTGGGTATTACCACTGACAAGCACTGCAGAAAATGGGTGGTTGTTTCTGTGCAGTCACTGATAGACAAATTATGAGCTTGCTCCGTACAAACTGACTCCAATTGTTAGCTGCAGATTTGAGAGCCCAAAACCTGAGGTTTCTTATCCCCAGCTGATTTGCACGTATATAGTATACATTGTAATTCACCTCAGAGCATGAGAAATTGATGGGAACTAAGTGCGGCTGTGTTTGTCAAAATAACTCCAAAAGTGGTGCTCTGCGGTCAGCCCGTGAGTCATATTCACAGCCTCCAATGGAGGCACTCACACAAAATTGTGGCAAAGATTGTCTTGTCTGGGTTGTCCACACGAACCTAACTGTATTAGAAAGAGCAGTCTCACTTAGATTTAAAATCAGGACGTGAAATTCCACAAAAGCAACATTGCAATTAGTTGCAAAAGCCGCATTTCATCCATTTCCCCTCATAGCAGAAGCAGGCTTCAAAACACATCCCCGCAGAACAGTTTTAGCGCACAGAAGTGCTTTTGCAGGCTGCAGCAAAGCTTTTAATCAAACACCGTCGCGTGAGATGGAATTTAAACACATTTTGTGCTCTGTAGTCCCCGTTTGCTTTTGCCCAGTAGATAATTTGTGGAGAGGTCACTAACAGAAGCAACCGCTGTTGAACACCTGCAGGAGGACACGTTTACCATCCAGGCTGTGGACCTCGGCATTTTGTACAAGATCAAGATCCGCCACGACAACAGCATGTTCAGCCCTGACTGGTTCCTGGACAAGGTGGAGATCCTGGACGAGACCACAGAGGAGTCGTTCGTTTTCCTGTGCGAGCGCTGGCTCTCGAAAAAGAAAGAGGACAAAAAGATAGAGCGTACGCTTTATGAGCAGGTACGGTTGCGGCTCAAAGCCACGAGCCCAACCCACTGCTGCTAATGAAAATAAAATTACTGAATATCTGGTTGAAGTCCAGACAGATCATTAGGGACTGAGGCTTTTTGACTTGTCCAAAATGAATTTGTGATTTCTCAAACAAGTTCTGAAGGCACGGCCACTCCCAGCCCAGTATTATTAGCTTTGTAATTTGCAATTTCAACAGAAAAATCAAAGTGTCTAAGTGAAACTCTTAAGCTGAAAATCAATACAGCAGAGTATATTTCCCTGCAGCTCTCCTTGCTGTGCTCACAAAGTACTTATGAGTCCCATTATTCAAAGTCCTCAAGACGAATATTGGGTGGTTTGACTTTGTCCTCACTGGACTGCATGGGTTTATCTTTTCAGCTCCCTCTTCCACCAATGCTAAACATAAAAAGCCTAGTTTCTTTGCTACCACTCAAAGCACTGAATGTTTTTTAGTGAAATGCCCTTTGTACTTGCCCATTCTCTGTTGCTTTATCAGGCTAATATAGCTAATTGGAATTCTAGGTACGTGCACTAATTAAAATTAGCAAACAAGATTAATAGACCTTTCCTGCTTCTATACAGTGAGACATAATAAAGCAGCTGATTATAAGTCCATTGTATTTAAGGAATCCATTTTGCAAAATACAGTGACATTTTAATTGACAGTCACCACTAAAATTATCGTCAATGAAACTGAGCCAGACTCATCCTGAATATAGTAGAATGGATGTGAGAAGAGTTACACCACGGAGGAGTACTGCCATATCCCCCCTTATAAGATAGCAACAGACTATGCTATGAATTCTTGTGGTCACCCTTACCCCACAACTCATATTAATCCATAATGAGGGAGAGCTAATACATTTTGTTGGGTTTTTTTTATATTACATGACTGTGTGGTAAGAGCTTCATGTTTAATGGACAATGACACTGAATGCATCTCAAACGCAGTAGATGTTTCATATCATTCAGCTTTGCAGTACTTTCCTTTTTAGGCTCTTTGACCTCTATCAGGTAAATTAGACCACATTCTGTACCCTGAGAAGCAAAACTGGTATTATTCCATCCATCTGAATTTTCTGGGGCCATTGCTCACACAGGCAGCAAAGTCACAACACACCATTAAAGTCCATTAAGTCTATTATATTTTCTTGTATAATAACACCCTTCCAAAACGGCCTGTCAAGGTTACCAGTGAGGTAAATGAATGACCTGCGGTAAATTACAAGTCACATTTATTTGAGCTACACTGAGCAAAAAGCCACCTTGGGAACTACAGGGATTTCCTCTCATGTTGTTCTTGGAGGCACATGGGAACATCTAACAACACTTGAGCACTCAACCTCATTACCCTCCCGTACATGCTTTCCAACTAGAGCTACGACGGCGAGCGAAACAGCCTGGATGGGTCATCCCTCAGCCTGTCGAGTCAGGATAGCAATGCAAACCCGGACGAGAAGAAAAAATCCAGCTTGGTCAAGGCAGCAGAAGAAGGAACACGTGAGTGAGCACAGTGTTTGATTGCATGCACACATGTGTTCCTGTCTTTCAGTGCTTCAGAGGTTGCGTTTGTCCTGGGTAGAGCAAGGAGATCACAACACCAGGTTGTGACCACTTTGAGAAAAGCTGGATCAGCGCTTGTGTTTCTGTTTGTTCTTTTTTCTATAGCTCTCTGACCTTAACAGTCCAATAACACACGAAGTTCACAGCAACTTCAGTGTTTCCAACCCTCTTCTTTCTTTCCTGTGGAAATCTGGGATGCTGTCGCTTGCCATAATTAACCTCTCCATTACCAGCAGATTTAAGTTCTCCAAATAGCGTGGTGCTTTGGACGGTGTGACAATATTGTTGGGAAGGTGACTATTCAAGTATGTTCAAGTATACTATTTTGTGTCGCTATGAGGTAAAAGGCACAGGAGACCTCTACGGGCACCTGCAATAACAAATCGTGGCCCTTAGATGCCTAAAATTAGATGAGTCCATTCACACCACCAAATGTGGAAAACGGACTAGTCAACAACATCCATATGGCCTTCACAGAAAGAAATCCACTGGCCTGAAGAATCATAATTTCTCTTCCTCGTCCTCCACCACCAACTTCATTGCAGACAACACGGCAGAGGTGGGGAGAAGTGACACTACCTCTGAACAGTGGGATCTGACGGAGCTAAGGGAAGAATTTATGCAAGTTTTGTATAATTTCGTCTGAAGCATCCCTCAAAGGATGCAAAGCACTTTGCAGTGAGAGGGACAGTAGGAAAGTCAGACATATTGGCACCGAAAAAGCCTCACTTGGGCTACCAGAAACTCTTTTCCATGTGATTCCTTAAAGTATCTCTTGTCTATTGATATTTCTTTGTAACTTAATTACCACAGAGGCCTTTTTATCTGTATTTGTGCACCTTTTGATTAACCACCTCTGTGTTCTAGAACATTGCCTTATCATCTATGTTGCACCTACATTTCATTGTCACCCTGTATTGGGTCTTTTATCTTTAGATTAAGATTTTAGACACAAGGTTTAGATATTGTCTCGTATCAAGTAACTGGGCAGCAGCTGAGTCACAGTAACTGTCTGCATATGAGCTCTTAGTCCACAGTGAGTGAGATATAATTAAACTTATCTTAAACTTCCATGGTAAGCCAAGCGTAAAATGATGTGATTCAGCTTAGGAATTTAAGATAGCTTTCACTGACTTGGTCCAGGAGAGCTCACACAAATGGTTTCTGCATGTCAGCCAGTAGCTTGTTGCAATGTGATACCTGGGTTGCATGTCCCGAGCCTTTGAGTTGTGAAGCAGACCTAACACTGCACATTGCTTAACCTGGGCTGCAACCCATATGTCTCAGGGCAACCCTTCTTTTGTAATCCCATACTGTGCTCAAACGAAAAACAAGTGATTCCCATGTTCCTCCTGATATTACTTCTGTGGTGAGATAATGGATAACATCTGCCATCTTGGCATTCCGTGTAGTTTCACAAATAATGGGTAAAACATCAGCATGTCCCACGAGAACCCATCTCCAGCAGCGTTAGGATAGTTCCCATCATCCCCATTGTGCCAGTGTGGTCTTTCTTTTCCAAGGCCTGGAGCTTGTCACCACCGCTATCTCCGTTGCAGTGACATGGCCTCATTAAGGAAACTGCATCTTGAAGGAACATCAGATAAGATGGACTGTGGGAGCCAGACAGTCACCTCCTGAGCTGGATAAAAAGCCAGCTGTTAATTAGTTGATTAGGGGAAGTGGTATTGGGAGTTGCCTGGGAAAGGGAGTTTGAGCAGCCCAGTTCCGACTCTCTCATGCCCAAGACGGTGAACGCCTTTGAGGGGCAGGAGGTGATGTGAGGATGGAGCACAGGAAAAGGTCCTGTTGACTGGAAACCACTTGGGTCCAAACTGGGACCCCTGCTTCAGGCTGGCAGGCAGTGCTGGAGATGGTGTGGTCTACAGCCCAACTGAAACCCAACTCCCTTTGAGAGTGACACATGTCCTCAAATAGCCCAAATTCTGCAGAGGGACTGAAGGAAACAGAGAGCAAACGGAGATGGGCTGGAGAACCTGTGGTGTCCTGCTGTGGCCATGTAACTCAGGCTTTACATTACCCCATGCTTGAAGAATTGGGAACTATGGAGACCCAGAGGGAGAGGAAGACAATGGAGAGTGTTCATGAACAAGTTAAAGGATCACTTTTTTTAGTTTTTAGAGGAAAGAACAGCAAATAGTGTTTCTTACTGTCTAGTAACAAGATAATTTATGTCTCTGTATCCATTATTTAAAGTGGGAAATTATAGTTCTCTTTTTTTCATGTAGTTGTTTCTAGTGCTTTGTCTTGGGGATGCAACATCAGTTGGAAATGCTGGTAGTTCTGTGAACTTAGTCTATCACAGGAGAACAGGGTAAAAACTGTATAAAAGAAAATTTTGTCCCTCTTCAAAACATACTTTATTTAATAGAGGAGTCTGGAGCTGTCCTAAACATGACCCCTCAACATACTTTTTGTAAGATCTGTCTTGCTAACAGCTAAACCCTTTTTTCTGCTAATACCAGCAGCTTCATCGTTGTTTTGTGAAGAATGCTGATGTGCACACTGAAATGTAAATGATACCATAAAGGGGAGAATAAATCTTGCCTAATCATCAATTCAATTTGTGTTAGTACATAAAACCCTCAAATAGGGGCAGAATGAGTCTCTTTGGGTTCTGCTCTGTCCAGAGGTCAGAACAGATTTGGCCAGCATGAACTCATGCCTTCCCTGATATTACACATATTTTCTGAGCTTGATGGCAGTTTCTAGTATAACTCCACCCGAAAAATGTTGTTAGTCATCATAAAGCAAAATTAGATGTCAATCCTGGATGATTTGAAAGCCAACCAAGTTTTTTATCAAGGCTTATAAACACTTCTTTTAAATTTAAAAAGTGATGATGAAGCCAGGTTGGGTTTCAAGTCTGTGACGAGGCAAGTTTCAGAGCTCTGAGTCTTGTCAGAACGGTTTGAACAGCCCTGCAGAAATGTTCTGAGAAATCAAACGAGTATTCAGTGTCTAATTCTGCACCGCCCGCTCAGCTTACCCAAATGAGCTTTTGGAAAGCACTTGAAAAGCAGTCTGGCACTTCCTCCCTTTTAACAGCTGAACTGAAATTTCTGAAAACCACAGAAAAACCTGCTGAGCAGCAAGCCATGGCCTGAAGGCTTTTCTCCCAATCAATATTACCATGCAATGTATAAAATTATTGAGCGACCTACCTTTAATACGAGGATTATTCATAGTTTTGCCTGGATTTGCAAAGGGATGCTGAAACCCCAAGCTGCTCCATAGATCACAGCAACCCTTGAATGAAGCACGAAGGAGAACATTTGCAGTTGTACTGGGACATTCAGTCAGTGATGCTTTACCTTGGAGTCAGTATAGATTTATTTGCCTTTATTGAATGATGAGCATGAGGTTGCTTTGGTCAAATAGCCTGTTTAATACATAGGTGCTCAGTCTCATCTTCAGGAAGGTCTCTTGGTGTAAATAAAGATTCAAGCCCTTTGCTGTTCTGCCATCTATTAGGGAGAAATCTGGATTTATAGTTAGGTTGTTTGGGGAAATAAACCCTTGCAGAATTCAGTCCCAAGTGTGTACGGGGAAAGTCGTCTCCCATGCACATTTGCAGCCCAATGCAGCATACTGTTATGCCTTCTCCAGATGAGTTTAATGGGACATGAACCTATTTACCACACACAACTGCCCCCTCTGATGGGATGAGACCCTGTTTTTCTATAGTCTCACATAAATGTGTGCATGGGGGGGTTTTCTGATGATGAAACCTCTGTTTGTTGCAGTGATCCCGTACCACATCACTGTCACGACGGGCACAGAATATGACTCCAGCACCGACAGCCGAGTATTCATCATCATCATGGGTCCCCAGAAGGTGCAAACGGAAAGGTTGTGGCTGGATCTCCCAGAAGGAAAAGACGAGTTTGCAGATGGCTCCGTAGAGAAATTCTCTGTCTGGGGCCTAGACGTTGGGGAGATCAAAAGAGTGGAGGTACTTTGTGAATGTAGCACAAGCACAGGAGGCAAATGAAATATGTGTCCAAAGAAAGCACAGGTTCCTGTTACTCTTAGCAGTGAAAGAAAGGCACCTGGGTCTAAAATAAATACAAACAAGGATGTGCTAATGAGATTTCACATGTGTCCGAACCTGAAAATAAGTATTCTCTAGGTCTGGCGAAAGCAAGATCCTTGGGAGGCAGAAGATAATTTTGAATAATAAGGAAGTTGAAACATGGCTTGTTTTGGTCCCATCTCTGGCATTGTTTTTTCTTAGTCAAGCCCTGATATTGATGGATGCATTGAAGGTTCCCAGGATGCAGTCCTCCATCAGTCTTTTTCATAGTTGATTTTTACACTGCTTCCAGTTGGGTTGCATAAACTGTGCCTGCAGTGAGAAACACATCTTGTATAATTTTCTAGCTAAACATGAAAATTGTTTTCACAGCTTGGAGGACCCAGGCTTAGAGAAGAAAATTAATCATCGTTCATAAGTAACGTTCACAAATAGATTTCCATACAGGAGCCATTTTTTCTGCTATGGCTCAGGGAGACAGAATTTGCATAGACTTTCCATCATTGAGCTTAAACTTCACATGAATCTTTCATCACATTTGTGTACATCATTCTTGTTTCATATGGCAGTGCCATCTCCTGAAAGCCTGCTCCAGCTCCCCGAGTGCTGAAACCCACAGCATCCGAGGACTTCAAGAACCTATTTAATTTTATTTTTACCCTGTGCCCTGTGTTGCAGTAAACCTACTTGATGCATGTGCTTGTGTGTCTGAAGAGAGACAAGTGGAAAAAATATGTAGAGAGAAATCTTAACTAATCAAAAAACTCTCTGCAGTTGTTAGATCCTGTTGTAGAACCTGATGAACTGAAGCACTTCCATTAGCTTTCATTCGAGCAATGGATGAGAAGTCCTTGAGAAGTCTCCACACTAGATTTGGGTTTATTATCAAACCATTTTCTTAATGCACTCCAAGTGCCTGTCTATTATGAGTATTAGTGGCACTTTCTATTTAGGCCATCCCTAGGTCAAACTCTGAAAGTGAAACAAGAGCATAAATCCTTCTCTTCAGACAAGGAAACAGCCATGGGCTTGGGCAAAGAGGGAGGAAAATCCAGTGTAACCTCTCAGTGTCAAAGGGACAGAAAGAGCAGGCTGAAGAAAGAAATAGCAAGGGATGGTGGAACAGAGACCGTGACCAGGGTGAAGAAGGGGTAGAGAGTAAGATAAAGTAGGAGAAAACGCTTGGAATTAGGCAGAAGCAAGGAAAAAATAATAGAATCACAGAGTGGTTTGAGTTGGAAGTGACCTTAAAGCCTCCCCAGTCCAACCCCCCATGGACAGGGACACCTCTACCAGCCCAGGCTGCTTCAAGCCCCATCCAACCTGGCCTTGGGCACTGCCAGAAAATAATTTAAAAATAGTTACAAATGGAAAAAAAAGAGAAAAGATTGCAAATGAAATGCAGAGAGTCAGAAAAAGAAATAGGAGGAGCTGGCTTCTCCTGGCCTTCTGCCTTTCTTCACACAGTGAAGGTCTCTTGTTGATCCACGTCGCAGCAATGGCATCTACGTGCCAGTCTGCCATGGTTGCTATGGCATCAGTCCATATTTCCCTTGTAGAAAATTGCAGTGTTCGGGGACATTGCAGAAAATTGCTAGTTGTCTACTTGGGAGAAGTGAGGAACAGTTCGTTCTCAGATTTGGCATTAGGCTGCTTCTGGAAGGAGGCAAGAAGTTCTGAAAACCATGTGAAAACAGCATAGCATGCGGAATTGTGTTTCCAAAAACCCTCTGTATAGCCCAGGCAGCAGACTGCAGGATTTAGTAGGATCGTAAGATTTGCAGCGTGATGCCACTTCTGGTTTGGTATTATTCTCCTGCTGCACATATGCTCTGGTGAAAGTAGCAACAAGTGGAACGTGAAGTAAGTTGAAATGAGGCCCTTTTATACCTGTCTTGTAAGCCTACAGATACAATATTTGCTACTGGTGTACTTAAACAGACATGCTGACATCAAAATAAATAATACTAGTTATTTGGTGTAGGCACTTTATACTGTGTTCTTAAAGCAAGTTTTAGTATGTCTTCTCCTAATGAATGAAAGTATTTGTGTACCTAGACTGCGGAGAGATACAGGTGTGATCAGAAGGGTCCTGCATTGGTCTGCATTTCTGAACCACTGCTGGTTTAGAGCCTTTCTCCATCACAAGCACAGAGTAAAGTGTGATGGAGTGCAAAGTGTTGCAAGTCCAGTCCCCCACTGACTTGAGACTTGATCCTGGAAGACCCTCAGGTCCCTCTAACATTCTCTGCATCTTCCAATATAAGCAAGAAATCCCATTTTTTGAGGCATATTTTCCTTCTATCCACCACTCAAGTTCTCTCCCATATTCCCCTGTCGTTGAGCTCGGTTTCAATGGGATTGTGAGCTGCCCAGTGCAAATTGTGCTGCTTAGTCTTGGTGATGAGGAGTATTCAACAGTCCCTCAAGGTCAGTGGGAAGGAGTTACAAAGGTTTATAAACAGCCCAAGTTGTAGCTGCCTTTGAAATTCTGTCATTCTTATTTAGTCCAAACATTTCAGCTCAAATAACTTGTGATATTGGTATGCATCCCCAGGCTACACTGACAGTGTGGCCATGGCTTTGGATCATTCACTGCGTTGGCATGGTCTATCTACAGATTTGCTTGGAATTGAAAGACAAATCCCGGCGCTCTGCTTTAACAGAGTGGCGGTAAGGAGGGCTCAGCACTGGGTGAGTTTATCCCAGAATTTACAACGTTGTACTTGGAGCCTGTGGACATCTGCTGATGTGAAGGTTTTCCAAGTGGATGTGCAGGACGTTTTCTTCTGGTCAGTCACTGACGCCAAAGGAGTTAAAGGTTGCTGTGAAAACCTGGTACCTAGCAATGTCTTGGGACAACACATTAGGAGGTAACGAACCCAAAAGAGCAGCAAACTTTAATGGGCTCATCAGGATTTTAACTCTGGCTTCCCTGCAAAGCCATTGCCTTGGACTCTCCCCACTGCCTCTTCTGCACCATCCTGCAAAGGGACTCGAGGGGCTGTGTGCAGGCTCTCGGAGGGGCATTGGGTCTGAAGAAGGACAGCCAAGCTGGCAGAGAGGGAACGGGAAGGCAAGCGTTATATTCCCATTCACCTCACACCCCAGGAATCTGAGAATTAATGCATCCATTGTAGGCTTGAATTTCCCTCGTGGTTAACTCTAATTTTCTGCAGCTGCACAGGCATTAGTATAGTAATAATGTTCCTAATAGCAGTGATGGCTGAGACAGTCTTATAAAAAAGATCACTTGTTTTTGGGTGAAAAAAAACCTCACAGATATATCACCCTAGATAAACCTGTTATTAAAAATTATTTTCTGAGCAGCCCTAATAATTTAAAAACAAAACCAGCGAGAGCTAAGGACCTCATTTTCCTAGTGACGACAGAAACAACACTTGCTCTGAAAATAATGAACTGCAGGTAGCTCTTTAATTCAGTCTTTGTGTGCAGGGAGCTCATTGGCATGACTGGCTGACTGTTTCTTACATCGGTTGGGACACATAATTATGCTCGTAAGCCTGCCCTGGGATGAATCACCCACAATTTTTAAGAGGGACACATGCAGTTCCTTGGAGAAGTTTGCATGCTTTTGCTGCTGTTGTTCCTGTAGGAACTTCTTGGCCCTTGCCAGACTCAGCTCCGGGTGAGCTTTGGCTTTCCTAACCTCATCCCTGCACACGTGGGCAGTGTATCTGCATTTCTCCAAGTTCCCTCTCCCTGCTGCCACCTCTAATATTCTTCCTTTTTCCCATTTAAGTTTTGTCAAGAGGCCTTTGTTCATCCAGGCAGGCTTCCTGCCAGCCCTGTGTGACTTCCTGCTCTCCAGGGTGAACCATTCTTCGGCTTGGAGGAAGTGGTCCTTGAAAATCAACCAGCTACAGATGTAAGCTCCATCTGTCGGCTTCTATACAAACACGGAGCCTTTGCAGTTTAAGGACATGGGAAGCAGAGAAACTGCCTGATACACATAGTCGACTTAGATGTGGTTTTGTGAGGGAATGAGGGCTTGAATAATGCATGTGGGCTTTTGACTAGCTGAGTCTTTCATCTTGGCTATGAAGCTTTGGATAGGCACTTTGAAGTGTTGCAATAGCAGTGGAATGGGTTGGAAAGATGGAGAAATGAGTCTGCAGAGATCAGCAAACTAGGAGATAGAGGTCAATGAAGCAGAAGTAGTAGTGAGGGACCGGACATGTTTTCATATAGGTCAGTCCAGTCTACCTTGTTTGCTTTTGGGACTGGCAGTGTCCTGCCTTCCCCCATGCTCAGCAGCTGATGACCTGAGCTTCCTTGCCCACTTCCTTGTCCACTAACACTCTTCGTCCACCATCACGGGTTAAAACACCTGATCAGGATCTCTCCTCTGCAGAAATCCCCTTTAACCAGCCACTGTTTTCTCTCTGACTCTCACAGGTGGGGCACGATGGCGCTACCCCTGAGAGCTGCTGGCTGGTGGAAGAGCTCACCATCGTCGTGCCCACCAAAGGCGTCATGTACAACTTTGTCTGTAAGTGCTGGTTGGCCAGAGACAAAGGTGATGGTCTCACCTCACGAATCCTCAACATCCTGGATGCTGAGTGTGTTAACGTTGGTCTCAAGGTAGGCTCTAGGCTCATCATGTACCTGGGTTTCTTTATTATTTCTTTAGCAAAATCTTTAGGAATAATTTAGCATCATTACCACTGAAAGCACTGTTTAATAGTGCTGGCTGGATGCAGCCATGGCATAGGCAGGAGGACAGAGCAGGTAGAGGACAGCTGAAAAGCATGTCCTTATTTTGTCACCACACCGGGAGCACCCACTGCATCTCCTGGTACCCACAAAGTGTTGTAGCTGCGAGGTGAACACCTTGGTGTAATCTAACTCCTTCATGCTTCCTTCGAGGAGATACTCCTAACTCATCAAATTAGAGCACTGGGGATATTTTAATTTCTGCATAGTGTGGCTACACATCATCTTTTCTAACATGGGGTAGGAAAACTGAACTCAGTTAAAATTGAATAATCATAGATTGGCTTCGGTTGGAAGGGACATTAAAGATCATCCAGTCCAACCCTGCTGCCATGGTGGGTTGCAATAGTAATTGGAAGTTGTTGAAATGGGGAGACATTTGTAAGCTTGATCTTTGAAATTAATAACTGATTAAAGTTGAATGAGCAATGAAAAAAGCTATGTTAAAAGCTATGTCTTTTCATCCATATATATGAAATTTGAAGTAATGTGTGTGCTATGCCGTATTTCAACCAAGTACAAATTGGAAAGCTGAGCTATGCTGATTTTGGATATAAGATTTATAATAGAAATAACAGTCTGGATGAATGGGGTAATAATACTGTGTTTAATACCTGCATGGCAATTTAAAATCTCTATAGATGTGTTTCTATTTACAGCGAGGTTACACTTTCATAGGACATTAATTTTTCTTTATGCTGCTCTTGATTCCCAAGCTACAGATATTCTCCTGAAATCTTTTTTGTTCCTCAGACACATAAAAGTGTGACAAGGTTTTTAGCATCTGTGAAGGATTCAACAGCTCAGTGAAGGTTTCGGTGGTGGAATTGACCTAAGAGGGTAAATTAACTCCCTCAGACTGAATACCAAGGTTAAAACCTCGTCTCTTAAAAACTTCCCATCAGTCGTTTAACATTCTGGATAAGGTTTCCAAACTCCTAACAGTGAGCTGATGGCTTGCCTGTAGATTGAAGTGGATGTTAATGAAGACTTATGTTCAGTCTTCCTTTAAAAGCCCAAATCTTGAATATTTATTTTCATAAGCATGCCAGAAATAGACACATCTAACTATTATTTTTCCTATGATGTTGGGCCAGAAACTTGCTGAAAGGTTTGAAGGACATCAAGGGAGATACTTGAGACATGAAATCAGAAATGCACATTTGACTTTCTGATCAGTCTCCTAGTTGAGGGAATTTGGGACAGTTCTCTTGTAAATAGCTGTAGTTAGAAACTGAGTTTAATTTATTTTTTGTTAGAATACAAAGAAGACTAATACCTTTAATGGCTTTGGGAAAGTTAATGCTTTTTTGTTTTGCTTTTGCTTGACTCTTGCACGGCCGTACATACCCATTTCAATTTAATTTTTTTCTTGGCTTGATATTCCCTCTTCATGCTTTAAATTGAGCATTTGCCTTCCCATACACGGAGAATCTAGTTAATGTCCACCACAGTCATTAAAAATCTTTAATGCATTTGTAAAAGAGCTTTTCTTCTCACACCTATAACAAATAAGATGCTCTGCCATGGTGTAAAATGCGTATGGATGAATATGTGATGGACAGGTTACTCGGAATTGAACAAATGTGAAAACTAATTTTTTGCATTACATTATTCCTTTTCATTGTTTATTTATGCGGCAATCCCAATTTAGGCCAATAAAACTTGCCTAGCGGTGCACTATATTTTGTTAGGGCTTTTTCTTGATATTCTTCCACCTCTTAAATCCAGAGGTCTTATTACTGTGGATAACAATCCTGAAAGCATCTAAGTGACCTAAAAGTCTCAGTGCCACTGACAGCCACTGGGACTCGCACGATTTTGGAATATTTTATTCTGAATCTTATTATTCACATATCAGGAGGGAAAGAACAAAGTTAGGCTAATAAGGTGAAAATGATGCAAAACATCTTTTCACAAATTGGCATACCTTTAATGTAGGAGATCTGGGAACACTGCAGCAGTTCAATGCAGCAGTGTGCATCCCACTGGGAAATAGGATAGCTGTTTTCTTCTGCTGTACAGAGCATTTGGATGTGTAGACTTTAAAACTGTTAGTGTCAACAGACTAAGCGTTGCCCAGATGGACGCTGTTAAGGTAGTCTGCTCTGTCCAGGCATCCAGTGTTACCTTCATCATTCCAAACCTAGGTTTCCCTGGCAGAGTTTCAGGCATCAAATCTTATAAAAAAATAATTTATTCAAATAGTACAACCAGGAAAAAATCAGCTGGGTTCCTCCAGAGAAGGACCTAGGACAGAGAAATCCCTGGGTAATGACAGCCTTGCAATCTGTTCATCCACTCTTCATGCACCTTGCATGTACCTCTCAGTTCAGTGGTAATTTCTCATCTGGGGCCTTCTAACATCTGACTGAACTCTGTCTCTGCCTCCAGACAGCCCATGAACTCTTCTTATTTCCAGTTGCAGCTCCTGTTGTTGGCTGTAGCCTCCTTATCTCCTGCTCTGTTCTTCTCACACATCTGCTCCTCAGCCATAACTGGAAAAGTCCCCGACTTGGGATGAGCACCACTTAGCACAAACATCAGTGTTAGCAATATTTTTCTCACACTAAATCCAAGACACAGCTCTACACCAACGACTAAGAGGAAAACTGATTCTGTCCCAGTCATAAATGTACCTAAGCAAAAGTTCAGTTTGTGTCCCAAGGCTTCAGCAAATCCAGCTGCTTGTGCTAAGCAAGTAATGCTGAGAAAACAGCGTGCCAAATCACACAACATTATGCTATAACTCTTGCAACCTAATGTTAAATAATTAACTAAAAAAGTTAATAATTCTAGTTAAAACTTACTTATTTTACCTAAGCGATTAATATTTCTTAACACACTGAACATTTGGGGGAAATGCTTTGCACTCAAGGGAAATAAAAAATTGTGTCTTTTGGCTTTTTTAAAAATGGCAAAATTTCGGTGCATTACAGAGGTGTGGAGTGCTGGGAAGTGGCCAGGAGGAGATGGCAGTTCAGAGGGTTGAGACCCACATGCTGATGTGAGGGTTGTGAGTCCCATGGAGAAGCGGTTTATCAGGTCTTCATCACTCCCCAAGCGTATGGTGGTCAAAATGAATGTGTGTCTCTCCGAGTATCTGGGCTGAGAAATCTGCAGAAAAAGTCATAGATGATGCAAAGAGGAAGGTCCTGTAGCAAGCTGCAGCCTCTAACTTTGCCTCTGAAAACCGTGGTCTGTAGACAGACCAAGACTCACAGAATCACACAGAATCTCAGCATGTCAGGAGTTGGAAGGGACCTCAAAAGCTTCCCCAGTGCAACCCAGCCCCAGAGCAGGATCACCAGAGCAGTCACACAGGAACACGGCCAGGGCTTTGGGGGTCTCCACACAAGGACACTCCACAACCTCTCTGGGCAGCCTGGGCCATGCTCCAGAACCCTCACACTCACAAACTTTGGCCTCATCTTCAGCTTGAACCTCCTGTGCTCCAGCTTGGGACCATAGCCCCTTGTCCTGGCATTGGACAGCCCAGAGCAGAGCCTGGCTCCTTCCTCCTGACACTCACCTTTTACAGATTTATAAACACTGAAGAGGTCAATTTCAACATTAATGAGACGTATTGTAACCATTTCTGGCAAAGCAGTAGATGTCCTGCAGAGCCTGTCTAGCATTTTGCCCAGGTTTTTGTGTGGGTTAAGGGCAGCTGTTCAAATGAGACTTTCTGGTTGTTTCAAATCCTCACCAGATCCTCTACGAAGTCACGGTTGTGACGGGTGACACCGAAAGCGGCGGTACTGATGCCAGTATTTTCATGACTGTCTTTGGGTCCAATGGGAACACTGAGGAGATGCAGCTGGATAAAAATGGAGTCAGGTACAGTAACCTTGTCATTTTTGTTGGTTAGAAGTGGAGTGCTGACGGATTCTGGTGCCAAGTCAAGAAGCACTTGGGACTTTGATCATCCTCCCACTGAAACACAAAGATAAACTCCCACTCACTGTAGACTTTCAGAACAGAGCCCCTTGTACCTGTTACTATAATGTATTTAGCAGAGTGGAGGAAAGGAAAGCACTGTGTAGCTAGGGAAATGACCTTTTGTCATTTGCAGAAGTTTTGTTTGACCTGTTCCTTATGGCTTTAGAGATGAGCATTGAGAGCAAAAATATGAATTTTGAAGTCTCGCATCATCTCCGAGAGGAACTGTGGCCATTGCATGAAACCACAGGTGCAATTTCTACAAAATGTGTCTTTTGTGGAAAAATAAGTAGTTTAAATTAAACAATATTTAATGGAAATGCACGAGTAGCTGCATAATGAAAGAGAGAAACCAACATGCACATACCAACCTTGCGAAGTGCCTGTTGATGGGAAGGTGCTGACTCTCCTCCATCTGCTCCTGCTGTTTGGTCCCATTTGGGCAGCTTGGTCCAGGAGCCAGGTGGGGGATGCCTGAGCTGGTGAGCTGAGCGCCCTGCTGAGAAGTGAACTTCTTATCTTGGGCTCTGTGCCACATTAATGTAACCACGCAGCTTTGAAATGGGGTTGACATGTCTGTAGCTGGCACAAAAGGGACACGCGATGGCATCTGCCTGCCCAGATGTGGCCTTATGGTGCAGAGAGATGGAAATGGGCTGTGAGCAGTGCGGATTGCTGTACTGAGTGCTCTGATTTTGTTAAAAAGGTGAAATCTCATGTTTTCTTCAGTAGAGGCAGCTAACAAACACTGTAAACCTAGTCTGATGCCAGTCTTGCCAAAAAAACCCACACGCCACTGATGCATTTCCTCAAGATTTCCTGTTCTTTTCTAGCACCTCCCTCGGTATTGAAAGATTTGGAAGAATGAACATGACACTAACCAACTTCTAGAGATGGGCTTCATCAGCCTTAAATTTAATTAACTGACAACCTCTGATCTTATTCAGCAAAGCATCTACAGACCCACAGGAAGGCTGGAGCATTTGGCTGCATGATTCAAGCCTCTTCCCCCGGCCTCCTGATGATGTAGCTCCTCTGCCGCAGCTTTGGGTACCACGTGTGGGCTGGATAATTGAAGATAAGGTTCCCTGCACAGAGGTGTTTGCTCGGGGGATGTTTTACCCGCAGCTGTCATAGCAGAGTGGGTGTCTGGGCAAGTGTGTTCAGCTGAACTCAAAACCTTCATGTGTTTAGTTAGGAACAAACACGAGCCTTGCTTGCTCTGAAAATAAAAAATGCAGCAGAGGTGGTTCTGGCCAAAATCTCCATGAGGAACACCACTGAGTCATGCAGAAAGACGTAGCTTTTGGCCCTGCCTCCCCATCACTGAAAGACATCCAATGTGCAGGGCAGTGCTCCTGGATAACCACAGCGTCTGGCTATCAGTGGCATCCTCTTTCCGAGCCCCCAGGCAATCCCAAGCTGATCTGTCTTCTGCTATTTTATGCCTAACATTCAATCCCAGCAGGTGGGAAAATGGACCATGACTGTGTGTGTTTAAAAGTAAAGCAAAATCCACATCAGGGTGTATCAACCGAAAGTCTCTAAAGGGGACCCAGACAACTCTGATCCTTCAAGAGAGGGATTGCAGTTTCGCTTCAGCTGGCCAGACAAATGATATCCCTAAACTATGGTGTCTATAAAGAACTGTCACTTTTTTCTGTATGGGTGGGATGGACAACCTCTGCTATAAGGATATGAAAACGCAATGAAGGAGGGCAACACAGTTTGCACGCTACTGGTTTCTTGGGCTGTCTTCTGCCAGTAGAACATCTACAAAAGTTGATGAAAACTGATTGGGGCTATATAAAGAAGGATATATAAAACACAGCTATTAATATATCAGTATCACTACTATTCTCTGGGGATGCATGGGCATCTGTGCTAGCTGAAGGTGCGTCATATCACACCTCCAACTGTACACAGCCCTCACCATCTCATTAGCACCCTCATTAACACGTGCATGTCCCCAGATACACTTCTTGCCCATTTCCACACCATTCCCACCAGACTTTATCCAGCCGTTAACATCACACGCTTTTCCAGGTTTTGTTTTGCGTAGAAATCTCACCAGCAGTGAGCGATGGGTGAGAGCCCCTGCAATGAAACGGGAACGGGCACTTCATCTTTACTGGGGACATCCAGTGCCAATTCACTCACAGCAGCTTAGTGCATTACCGAGAACCGTCTGTCTAACCTGCTGCAGATTTAAAGCAATTTTAGCTACATTACTGTTATTGCCAAGACCTCTGGGCAATAGAAATATTTATAAGTGCAGACATGGGTAGGAAAGCTTAATGAAATCCTTTAGATAAATGCTGCAGTGTCCTGAAAAAGGAATAGCGACAGTCAGCTTGTCTGGGTACTTCTTCCCTTCTCAATATTTTTCAGGCTTATGTTCGTATAAATCAGGGACAGAAAAGAGCTCATGGGTCACCCAGTTTGTCACTTTAACAATTGCTTCCCTCTAGTACAATGACTTCTTGGAAGTACCAGGTGAGTATCAGCCTTACAAACTGTAAACAGGACATTTACTGAAGATAAATAATGGTTTATTTTGCTGGCTGACTGTTTAGTGGCTCAGCCTGGAAAGGAATAAAGCGAGAGACTTCTATGAAGCTTTGTAAGTAATAGTGATGGTAATGAAAACTGATGGTAGGATCATGGGATAATTCAGGCTGGAAGGGTCACACCTTTTTCTTCAATAGATGTGGAAATCAATCCAGTCCAGACACAAAAGCACATTCTCACACTGAGACAGGCTGTCTCGGTATCCGGTACCACAGAAAGACAAATAACAAGAGAGGGGAGTTTGTCAAAGAGCAAACATAACCCTTAATAACGAGGAATGGACTGGGACCAAAACGCCCTGTGCAAATGCCTCGGGGAGTGCAGCAAAAGCAACTCCTGGATGAAAACTGAGCGGCTGGAGCCAATCCCTATTGCTAACATCTGCAGCTCTGCGGCTCAGATAATGGTGTGAGGATAATCACATTCATGCTGCAGGGTGTAATCGGAGCAGAGGTTGGTGAAGAAATGGTTTTTTTCCTCCATATCCCAGCACTACACAGCTGCAGGAGGCTGAGCACACTGCCAGGAACCCGATATCATCATTATGGAGTGTCGCTGTTATGGTAGTGCCCACAGTTTTCAGAGCTCACCCCAACCCCCCCCAGCAGGCTCAGGTAACTCATTTGTGCGGAGAATTTTGCATGAAGCAGCACCTTTAACAGTAAGGTGGTCATGGTAGTGCTTGCCAGACCCCCTGGCTTTGGCTGCCCTTGGCAAACCCCCTGGATTTGGCTGCCCTTCTACTCAGCAAGGGATGGATTTCCATCTCTCAGGCCACAGCAGGTCTGCCAGAGTATTTTGGGGGCAAACCTAGAAGTTACTCGCACTCTAAACAGAGTAATGTTGAGCCTGAGGCAGCACTTGCCCTGGAGCAAGGCTTTCTTCCTAGCACCATTGGTGCTAAGGGGGTTGTAAGGTAGCTGTGGTCCAACCCAGTACAATAATATCTTCTTCAAGAAGCATATGTTAGATTTTCCCCTTTTCCTGCTTTCTGCTGATTGCTATGGATGAGCAGTTCCTACACAACCTTGTGCCTTTCTGCAGCAGCCAAACATAGGGCAAGATCTTCCACGCAACGTTACACAAAACCACCCTGGCTCTTACCAAAGAGGGAGCTCCTTTGTGAATCCTAATTCCTCAAATACAGGAGGGAAGTACGAGACAGTCGGTTTTGGCTCCTTTCTAACACAGTTTCCCTGCATTTACTGTCTATCGCCACAGCAAATGCAAAGTCATACGTGCTGCGTCTTAGCGAAAGAAGATTAACCAAAATTGCTTTGCCTTCCAGCCCGGATGGGCTAAAGGCGGGCACGTGGGCAGGTGCCAGGAGGGAGGCGATGTGCCAAAACCCGACTGCGAGTCTCTATTGTTCTGGTTGCAAACAGAGTGATAACGCATGCTACGGGCTGCCAAGGGCTTGATTTTCCAGGGGAGGAGGAATCCCTGTCAAATCTGCACGGAGGTGCCTTCCCAAAAAAAAAAACCAGTAGCTGGTGGTTGCAGAATGGAAAAGCTCAAGTCCGATAAAGTGCACTTGAAAACTTTTAATTTGAGGTGGTTGGTGAGGTGCGAATGGCAGCGTGGAGAGGGGATTGAGACGCAACGGTGCCGTAAAAACCCCTTGGGTCTTCTGATCCCTCCAGGTTTGAGCGAGGCCAGGAGGACAGCTTCATCATGGAGATCGCGGATATCGCACCCCTCAGGAAGATGAGGGTCCGGACGGACGGGAAAGGGATGCGCCCAGACTGGTTCCTGGAAAAGGTAAGGCACTTTGTGCCTCTCTGCACTCCACTTTGCAAGAGGAGAAAGGCAGCCAGTGCCTTGTTTCTATTCATTTCCTACGTTTTTCTATTTGGTTTGTCATTATTTTTTCCTGTGGGATTTGAGTCAAAAAGAAGAGAGCAAGGGCAAAAGCCTTGCTGTACAGCTTTGCCACAGCCTCTGCTGTTAGATCTCACTCTACCTCCCTTGGCTTGCCCCCTAGGCAATATTTTCTGGTCCCCAGTGTCGTTTTCTTCTTGCATTTTGAATACAGCATGGAAAATGGCTCCCACCACTTCTGTTGATTGTATTTTTCCCTAGTGCCCTATCTTGCACAAAAGCACAGTGCTTGCCTTTTTCTTCTCTACCAACCCACCAGCCCCATGTACACATCACATATCTGGACAGTAAAATGTAGTTTGCTTGTTATAGGTCCCTATAATTATATTTCTAAGGTAGAGATGGAGTGATGTCCTCTTTTGTCATTTAGGGAGAAAACTAACTTTGCCATGTTTATTCAGCATGTCTTTTCTGGAGTAGGTATTCTGCTGAATTTCTGTATCACGTCTTCTTTATAAGAACAGGTTAAGACTGAATAGCTTAACTCATGGTCAGAAAGAAGAGTGCAGGATTTCTTTACTGGTTCCTTTATCCTTTATGACCAGTCTGAAGCTGTCCTTCATTTTCCCGTTAACAGTGTGTTTGTAGACACTGATCCGAGGTGGCCACCAGTTTCCAGTGAGGTGATGAACCACACTTCACCTCCATCAGCATGGGCTAAAAAGCATTTCTGTGGTGCAGTACTTGAGCATTGCCACTTCTAACCTTTTTCTCAGCAACTTGCACAGCTTTCCAAAGCATTAGGCCTCCAGCATGTATCTTCTGAATCTATGCCACAGACACTGAATTTTTCTCTCTGTGCCTAAGGAATAACTCAATCTGTTCTCTGATTTTATTCAGTTGCCTTGGTCGAACTCCCTTTGCCAGTTCCTTGGCACTTTCCCCTGAGCTTTGTAAATCATATTCATATAAAATGAAATCAAATAAAGCTTAATCATCCAGACATGTTCTAGATCTTGCAGTCATGAACTAGCAATAGCTCAAAGGCCAGAGACGGCACAACTTTAGTGGCAGGTGGCACCTTCCTATTGCCAGCTGTGCCCAGATGATCCAACACAGAATCCCAGAATATGAAGAGTGGGAAGGGACCTGGAAAGTTCCCCCAGTGCAACCCCTGCCAGAGCAGGATCACCAGAGCAGTCACACAGGAACACGGCCAGGGCTTTGGGGGTCTCCACACAAGGACACTCCACAACCTCTCTGGGCAGCCTGGGCCATGCTCCAGAACCCTCACACTCACAAACTTTGGCCTCATCTTCAGCTTGAACCTCCTGTGCTCCAGCTTGGGACCATTGCCCCTTGTCCTGGCATTTGACACACCAGTGCCCGCTGGACTGTCCCACCCAAAGCAAAGCTCCCCCAGCAAAATGGGCAAAAAGGACTCTCATCTGGGACCATCCGATGGGTTCATAGTTCTCTTATAGCTCTATAGAAGCAACAGGCACACCATGCATGCAACTCTTTGAGACCAGGCCTTTAGAAGCTTTTGAAAATTGTGCCTGTAGTTTCTATTTTCCTTAGAAAAACTGAGCACGAGGGATCTTCTAGCTGCAGCGATACGGAGAGAACTTTATTTATTAGTTTTCTTTCCCACCTTCCTAGCAAAGATAAACACGGCGCCCGCATTCCCTGGCAGCGCCTGAGGACAGGAGCGCTCCGGGAGAGGGGAGGAAGGGTTGGCGTTCCCTGATTTGTATTCCAGCCTTGGAAACTTATGTAGCCTGGTGTGACATGAAAACTGATCGGAGCCCATTTCCATTTCTGTCAAAAGTGCATATTAAAACTGCATAATGAAATACTTGTGGGGGTAGTGCTAAACTCTCAGACAGATGGTTCACAGTTACTGCTAACTAGCACAGTGAAATGAGAAGCTAGATTAAGCCATCAACCCCGTGATTAACCATTTGTTGCTCCATTTATCTACAGGATAGTCTCAGTTTTCTTGCTCTATTAAAATAACAATAAATGATCTTTTTAATTCTCTTTGGTCTTTTTGTAAACTGTTGCTGGCTGTAATTTATACTGCTTTTAGCTTACCAGAAATAGAAGTGCATAAACACCAATTAAAATGCATGAATTATCAATGATGTTGTACACAGCCAAAAGATTCAATTTACAAGAAGGGAGGTAGTCATATCTTTTTTCTGTCTAGATAAAATACATTGGAATTTCATTCAGAATCTCAGCGAAGTCATGAACTTGGTGCCAAAGATTCAAACTGCAGAAAAAGCGGCAATAAGTTTTAAATGCTGATACTTAATCCTCTAGAGATAACGGATTAGGGTTGTGTTGGGCCAGAATGAATATTATTGATTATTGCTATGAGCAGAAAGACATACGGAAAACTTGCTAAAGCTGAGCAGCACTTTCTGATCTCACCACTGCTGGGAGAGACACAGAGCTTGGATATTTTCCTCTGACCTAGTGCTGAATCTCATGTTCTGCCACATTGAGCTACTGCAACGCTGCTCTGGGTTTCGGAAAAAGTGAAGAATAGAATCACAGGATGGTTTGGGTTGGAGGGGACCTTTAGGGGTCGTCTGGTCCAACCACCTGCATTGAGCAGGGACATCTCCAACCAGACCAGTTTGCTCACAGCCCCATCCAACCTGGCCTTGAATGTCTGCAAGGATGGGGCATCCACCACCTCTCTGGGCAACCTGTGCCTGGGTTTCACCACTCTCAGCATAAAAAATTGTGACTTCTAATTAGGAAACTTATCTAAATGTGTGCTTTGGAAACCACTTCCAGGGAGAGCTGGATCCTCAGACCACACGATGGCTTCACCTGCTGCCCAGTGCCTTAGATATGAAGTTGGAAAGAGAGAAATGAGAAGCTGTCTGGGTAAAATAATGGGAATTGTGAGGCTGTTGAGTTCTGCAGAGTTGCTTCCTTCAGAATTTTAATGTTACTTTGTGCTGTCAAAGCCAGGCAGATAAGAAGCTGTCTTAATGAAGCACTAATTGCATTGCATTCAAACGTCACAAATAATCCTGAATGCGGGACTTGGTCTTTATTCAGTTCTTTTTCCTTTATATAAAAGAGATTAAGAGAATTTGAGACAATTAATTATATAGCTGAAGCTGACTGTTGTTCTTTGCAACAGAGCAAAGTCTTTGTTTTACAGAAGATCCTGTTTTTAAGCAAAGACTAATGACATGCAACAGAACCATAAAAATGTGCGCTTGAGTCTTTAAAGACGAAATCCGGGACCTGTGTATTTTGGCGTTAGTGGGGCGTACACCCCTACAGAGCGTGTTTTACACTGCAGCTGAGAGGAGGCTGGTTCAAGGTAAATCAAATAATCGGACGTGTCAAACCTTTCTGTCACAGCACACAGCGCACAATTGATTTCAAGTTGCTGGTTTAAAGTCCCTGTCAGCTACAATATTTGCTCAGCTACAAGGCAAATTATCAACATTTTATTCATACACACTCCTCTCGCTTTCTTTCCTTTTCTTTTTTTTTTTAATAGGTGTTTCACAGCCCACTTAATAACTTATGCATAATTAGTGATAAAGTTTGAGCTTAAAAGCACGCAGGATGCCCACAGCAAGTTCTAGATATCCTAAAAAATAGTTTAGATGTAATGTAAAACAGCAGTCTTTTCCGAGCCGTAGCTCATTTTTTTTTGAGAGGAACAGACAGAAAATAAATATAGTCTCAGCTCAGCTCCCTGAGATTACTTTCTTGACCCTCATGATTGAAATCAAGTTCCTGCACCATCCTGCGTGTGTGGAACACCCACAGGCATCTTCTTGTAGAAGGGGATTCGTTTTGTGCTATTTCAGTCCCTGGAAAACTACGTTCAGCTTTCACCTCTTCTACCAAACCATTTAGACCACTCTGCAGACAGCAGAGAGACAGATTGGAGATAGGGGAGATGCCTTGAAGGGACATTGAAGCCCCCAGCTTGGATGACATGGCCTGGGTGGGATGTGTTGCTTTTTTGGTGAAACCCATCTCTAACCACTGATCACAGGGAGGCACAACTCGATAATGCTCAGTGTTTGGGCAGCTCAAGTATGTTATGTGGGCAACATACCCACGCTGTGACTGAGCGATCAGCCACGGCTTTGGTTTTAGTAGCCAGACAGATTTTCGCAGACGACATCTGGAGCGTTGGGCTTGGGCTGGTTGTTTGTGAGAGGCCTGAGCTCCAGCTGGCAGCTCTAATCTGCCTCTACCTCCCGCTGCTTTCCTGACGTTTCCCTGAAAAGCTCTGCTCAGGACGTTTTTGCTACCAACGGTGTCACTGTCATTGCTGAGCAAGGCAGAGGTAGAACTTGCTGTATCTTTTCCACCAAAGAGTTTAGGGACCAGTGTGGGAGAAAAAGGCATTTTCAGTCAACCTGTGGTTATTCACAATTCAGATTGGCAAATTTTAGCCAAAGAAAAGTTTCTAGGTTGGCATCCTTAGAAGATGTAGACGTTGTTCATCCTTGAGAAAGGGGGCTTCCTTCTGGTCTGTGCCCAGCAAACAGGGCACCAGCTGGGGTGGTGGAGACCCGGTTTCTGCTTGGTTCAAAGCAAGGGTTTGATTCAACATCTCTTGACTCATACAGTGTTTTGTTTTGTTTTGGTTTTTTTAACCACAAAATAGTAGTGTCACTGGCTGTGAATAAGCAGCTTTTTAAAAAGTGGGACAAATTCAATGGCCCAAAATGCCCTGTACCTCTGGGATGAAGGTGACGTGTTACAGAGCCCTGTTTAGCATCAGACAGAGAAAACCCCCCATATGAGTGTCCTACCCCCAGAATCCTACAATGCACAAATAGCACAGCTACTGCTTCAGCTACAGTGTAGCTACCACCCTCTTTGAAATATTTTTTTAATAACCTAGAGCAATGTTCTTCTTTTGAACTGCTAAAGGTTCTGGCAAAACTCGGTTGGGGTCAACAGAAGTGCATGGACCGGGACACATGAAGTTTGAGGACAGAATTTGAGCATGTTTTATCTCAAGATAAGTTTTAGAAGTTTCCCAGACTGATAGATGAGAGTGCAGCGGAAGGTCACTGAGATAGTCGAGGGGCTGAAGAATACAGCATGCTAGGAAAGGTTAAGGTAAATGGAATTTTTAAGCCTTGAGAGGAAAAGGCTACAGGCGAGCCTAATTGCAGTCTTCAGCTGCTTAAAGAGAGGTGGCAGAGACTATCGATCCAGTCTCTTCTTGGAGGTGAACAGTGAAAGGGCATGAGGCTATGGACACAAGTTATAACAAGGAAAATGCTGAACAGATAGAAGGAAAAAAGTCTTCCCAATGAGAGCGATGCAGCCCTAGGATGAAGACCTGCAATGCTGGGGACATCTCCACCCTGGGACATTTTCAAAGCTCAGTTGGACATGGCCTTGCAGTTAGCCCTGCTGGGAGCAGAAGGAGGGACTGAGCACCTCCAGATGTCCCTTCTAACAGCATTTTCCATGACTCCATGATTTATGTCTTCCCAATGTCACATCACACTTCTCTGACATGTCTGGGCTCACGTCTCCATGACCTTTGCAGAAATGTGCCTTGCAGGACGCTGTTTCTTGATGGACTCCTTCTCTCAGGTATGGTCTCTGCTCCTGTCAGGTGGTAATTAAAATGATAATTTGCAGCCCTGTCGCCTCCCTTCCCTCCAAGTCCCCCAGTTTAGTGAGAATTTACTGCGAGGTTTTTGCTGTAGGCAAGTGTAATGCCTTTTTCCCAGTAAACTGTTGCTCCACTGAACCCACATTGACCAGTACACATAAAGATGGACATTTTATCAGGTGTTTGTTGGAGTAGCTCACTGCCGTGTTCTAAATAGGTTCCTATTCTGTTCTTATCACCACAGCATCTGAGCTCCTTCCCGTGACACATTAGACAGTGTGACTAATATCTGTTGCATACTGTTTGTTCTATCACCTCTTCCCAGGGGGAGAAGTGTGTGAAGGATTAAGTTTTCCTGGCCTAATTTTGTCTTGTGCATTGCTTTGACTTGTTCGGGGTTGATTTTCATATCTCTACAGTGATTCCTGCATGTTTGCACAGAGAGTGCAGGCAGAAGGAAGATACTTTGAGCTTCAAGAAGAGGCAGAGAGGTTTTCAATAATTCTCTGTTACTTCTTCTTTAGACTTAATTCTATAATTGCTTCCAAGCAAGGTCTGACTCTCTTGGAGATGAGCTTTGTCCCTAACCTATGTCAGAGGAGCAAATATCATCCTATGCTTTACTCCATACGTGAAAAGGTCCAATATTATTAAGACCATTTCTCAGGACAAGCCACCACAGCAAATATTGTCCATAGCAGAGAGCTCAGTTTAGCCCAGAAGAGCTCAGCGCAGATTTTGAAGCTATGACGAAGCTCTACCCATGTCCTACCACACTGTGCACTTCGTAGGTTTGATCTTTGCCCTTGTTCAATTGGTAGTTGGAGTTTAGCTGAAGTTTTTTCCCCTTATTTTGACTCTTCACAGATTGTTCTGAGGAACCTGACTAATCAAGAAGTGGCCACATTTACCTATGGTGAATGGCTGTCAAAGCTGAAAAATGCCAAGGGAAGTCTTGTGTGTGAGATGCCTGCTGTGGTAAATGATGAGCAGATGATGGAGGACACGACATACAGTCTTCAAGTCAAAACCAGTGACGTTGGAGGCAAGTCCATGGTGGATATTTTATGACTTTTCTAGTATGAAGTTTGATTTTTAGCAATGGAAAAGATCTCTGGCTTAATTTGAAATTATGTTTAAAAAAAGCATAGTTTAGCCCTACTATGCTGGAACACCTCCATTTTGGCTGGCAGCTCATCATGGCTGTTATGCTGTGGGATTCATCCTTATCGGAGCACTGGGCCTAAAATATACAGACAGAAATCTCAGATTTGTCTGCTCACTGCTTCCTCTGAAGACACCTTCACAGAAGCTATTGCCAGACCACGTTGCAATGGTCAGGAGCTCCCTTTTTCTTTCTGGTCAGGTCGGGTCCATCCATGTAGGATGGAAAAACAAGGCTACGGTCAAAGGTGGTGGGATCCAGGTTTTTAGTCGGCACCAACTACTTTGGGCAAAGAGGAGCGATAATTCACCTCCTTTTCAAAGTATTTCGAGAGCATTTATCTCAGGCTGTGAAAAACCACCCCTAAATGCACACCAGAGAGAGGAGGTGGAACAGAGCATACAGAAAGCTGCGGGGCTTCAAGAGCCAAGAAATGGGATTTCGATGTCATTTCCTGGGATCACTGCCTCTTTTCATGAGAACTTCTGTCAGGCTGCTGAATGAAAGCTGCAGCCACACACATGCTGCCTTGTGCCAAAATGGGGCAATTTGGACATTATTTTGTAGACATCCTGTTAGAAAGGTTGACCCTCAAAGGGGATTCTGCCACACCAGTGCGTATAATCTCTGCCTGATCTCTACTTCTCTTTTTCATTTTTTCCCTGATTTCACCAGTAGTAATTTATGCAGCTTGTGAAGTTTGATCTGAGAATATCAAAATTCCCCTGGCAGAGTGTCTTTGTGCCACCTTACCATTTTTTATCTATCTCTCTGCTCTGCCTGCTGCTTGTCTGAAAAACATGTAGTGAAACATAGGAAAAAAAAAAAACAAAAGAGAAAGCGGAAGATTTGTTTATGTATCTGGCAATCCATCTAGTATAATGGTAGATCTTTCTGTGACCTTTTTGTGAAATCCAGCCCTAGCTCACAAAGGCGATGGAAATAGAAACGAGAGGAGAACGGAAAATGACAGCAACAGCAGACAGATCTGCCCTTCCCATTGAATGAAGGATGACGGGTATTAATGATGAAACATTTTATTTCATTATGAAAGGCGACAACCAGTAAGAAAGAGCAGATTACAGAGGAGTCTGTTTATGATTAGATCACACAATACACTGACATAATGCTGGACTTTATCCAGCTTATCCAAAGAGGGTACAAGTCATGAACCACCTCCCCTCTTTGATCATTACATATTCCACGATCACTCCTGGTTGGACCAATTCAGGTTAAAAAAAAGAGATGTTTTTATCCTTGGCAGTCAGTTTAAACATGTTATATCACCTCCTACCACACTGACATTGTCAAGGGACAGTAATGCTCCACAGTGAATAGAATCAGACATGCTTATTTCTAGGTAGAAAGTTTTTCTCTGTAACAGCTTTCAACTTTCCAATGCATTGAAGCAAACAAAAAAAAGAGAGAAAGTAGGGTAGGATTCGTCTCACCTATTTGTCACTCTCAAAAAAGTTCTACTTGTGGTCCTAACTCCTTCTAGTCTAGACTGTCTCTGGTCGATTCATCTGCCTTAATTAGTGGTCTGGATCATCCTCTGGAGGGTCTCTGTCACTGTCTTCATCAGATTCAGACAAAGCCAGAACAATTAAGTCAGGCTGGATAGCTAAAGTTTGGGAAAATAAATCCCATTAAAAGTGTCCTGTAGCAAAGTAGAAAGCATCAGTCATTTCCCTTCCCCCATACAGACATATTTAACAACAGTTCTGTTTTATTTTTTTCCTCAAAGAATCCTTTGAGTTACAGTTTGGCTTTCCGGAAGTCATTCATCTTGGGTGATCATGCAACATACAGAGGCTGCATCAAGGAAAGGCTCCTCTTTTGCAAAGACCAAACCTCCTCCCTTTCAACGGTCGGATCCAGATGCCATGAGAAGCACCTCAGATGGCAGCTCTCAGGGTTCACACAGAGAGGGGAGAATTTGTTACAGCAGACACGTCCCAAGTCAGATGGGTAATCTTTGGTTAGAACCGAGATCTTGATTTACTTTTGATCCTATAAGAGAAGTAACTCACAATCTCATTTTCTCCAGGGTACGATCCACACAACTGCAATAGACCCAGACCATCTGATGACCTTTTTTGTGGCACGAAAATGTCCTTGCCCGTTAATTTTGGTTTACAGAGGCTTTCTGTATTCTCTGTGCAGGCATCATATACATGGTAATGCAATAGAGATGGAGGAAGAATAAATACTGCTTTCTCATTTTCCAAGCACTAACGAAGCAGGAGGTTTTTTTATCTCTGCTGTTATGAGATTAATTAGTGTGTTGTCAGCTCAGCTACAGCCTACAAATTACATAATTTAAGACAGTTGGTGTCAGTTCCTAGTGCCTTATCCAACCCTCTGTTAAGTCAAAAGGACATGCTTTGCCCTCAGAAGGCTGTGACTCCAGCCTATGGTTTGTTTAGATTGATGCAGCTGCTCAACAAGGGTCATAAAAACATACATACTTTTGCTGGAAGAGGCCTCTAGAGGTTATTTCATCCATCATCCTGCTCCAAGGACTATTGCCAGCATAGGTCAATTCAGCTGAGGCTTTGCTCAGCCAAGTCTTGGACACCTCCAGGGATGGTGGTGTCACCACTTCCCAGGTACCAGATCCAGACTTGTACCATTTTCCTAAGAAATACGGTTTTCCTGATGCACAACCTCAACCTCCCCAGCAATTTGTGGCTGTGACTCCTTGGGGTATGGTTTGACATCTCCATAGTGCATGACCCTGTCATCATTGTCTCTCTCCCTCCATGTGGTCAACAGACTCTTGTTCACCAGCTCATTTCCCTTGGCCTCTCCTCACAGTTGTGTGCTCCAGCTCCTCTCCATCTTGGCTGAGCTCTCCTCAGTGTCTTGACGTGACCCAGGGACCCAAACTCTGACCCTGGTCCGACTATGGGCTCCTCAGTGCCAAGCAAAGGGGATGAGAGCTTCCCTTCAGCTGCTGGCCATGGTCTTCCTCTTGTAGGCAAATGCATGGTTTAGGTCGCACACTGAGAACTTGCCCTTAGCTCAGATTCAATCCGAATATGAATGTTACTTCTATAGTCCCTGAGTCTTCTTCAGCTCCCCAGCATGTACATATGTAGGATTTATTCCACCCCAGATGCAGAACTTCGCATTTTTCCTTGCTGAACTTCATGGGATTTCTGCTCACCCGGTCCTTAACTTTCTCAAGGTCCATTCGGGTTGTAATGCTGCCATTCAGCATGTCAGTTACTACCCCAAATTTAATGCTATCTGGAAATCTGCTGAGGATGCACTCTGTCATCTTTCAGGGTGTTGATGGTGAAGTTCAGTGCTGCAGATCCCAGTATCGACCCATGAGTTATTCCACTCATTGCCAGTTAAGCCTTGTGCAACCACAGCACCTTCATCTCTTCGTTTGACAAATCCATCGCAGTTCCTAAATGTGTCTGACAGCTTCCTGGAATTAACAACAACCAAAAAAAATCAGAGACCCAAATAGGCGAAATGTACATTGATTCAGCAATTTCTGTTCCTTTCTTTCCCGTCTCCAGCTAATTGCTTGTGAGGGAAATGTCACGGCATGAGGCCCTCATAAGCTTCTTCCTGCCAGGGAAGGTTTTGCTAAGAAACAGTTGGTTCTGTGCTTTTTCGAGACCTTGCATTAATTGGGAGCCTGCTCCTTGTAAGGAAATGGACTTTAGTTTGCTTTGTTCCTCACCTCAGCAAGCTTTAGGGTCATAAAAGGTGCTGCCAGATGAACTGCCTGAATCCCTGATGCTTTCTCTTCCTTCTTAAGTCCTTCCCAGGGAACTGCTGAAAATTAACCCAAATTTCACATAGGCAATTTTTCACGTGGACACCAAATGTTGCTCTGCCTTTTCTCTGTATGAGTCCTTTCTCCTTGTTTGTCTCCCCCTCTTTTAATAATTTTTTCAGCCCTTCTCTAAGAAAAGTTTTGATTTTGTCCTAATTTCTATATTCAAATAATTATCCCAAAGAAGTCATGGCTTTTTCAAAATGTTTTCCTCCCCCCTTGACTTTGTCTCCGCATTGTGTTGTGAATGGAGCTGTGGGAAATACTGTCCATGTGGCCCAGAGTGGATTTATGATCCTTTTGTGCAAGAAACGGCTTGGCAGGCTTGTGGAGTTCTCAGAGCTGGGCTATCAGACCCAGGGCAGCGATGCTGAGTTTCTTTGTAAGGCACATTTGGGTTTGATGATCTCATTTTCATTTTCCAAAATTTAAGGGCTTGGGTTCTGACACAGCAGTGAATGTCTGCCCACATGGCATCGAGTTTCTTTCTATGAATCTGCCTTTCTTATTATGGTGTCAAAAATATAAAGCAATAATTTTAGTCAAATTATAAATAATGCTAGGTAAAATTGTTGTAACACCTTCAGCTGCAATGTTCATAAAGTCATTGCAGGAGATGGTATGGCCTCAAATTCTCCAAAAGTCCTCAAAACTGACAGCATAACTGTTTTCTGCAACAGAATATGGGCTTTCATAGGCATGTGAAGTGCAGTATAGGGTAATAAAGATAATATTTCCTAAAATATATATAAGAAGGGGTGGGATTTGACAGGATAAACTGTTGTATGAGAAAAAGACTTATTCCAATACTGCAGTGTGGACAATATTCTGAGAAATAACCCCATGCAGCATTACAGGCTTGGGG